AAAGCCCTACTCCCCCATCAAGGAATGTACAAACAGCATGACCCGGTGGTAACGAATAACCAGACGCTGTAACTGTGTTATTGGACGGTGCTGATGGTGCCATACTCGTAGATGAGGTATGCAGTGGAGATGGCGGTGTGGGAGTGTCTGTATTATTATTTGGCATGGTTGCACTGATCACATGCAATGCATGGAAACCAGTTTTTTTCAGTTTGATGTTTTCAATCGGTGTACTTTTTGAGACGTTCCATACTCGCATCACGCCAACGTGAGTATCTGTATAGTGAGATAAAATAATCCAACAATATTGACTGAGCTATCCTAATCCCTCTAATAGTTGGAACCCGATTAATTGGAGCATTTTATTTCCTTGGGTACGGTATTTCCACATTTCTGTTAAAACAATAATTTGTTATTTCCCTCTAGCAATTCAACCTCTTGGATGCATTCTTGATGTTCCTTCTTCTTGACAAAAAATAAAACCAGTAGCATCTTACATTTCCATATTTTGTTTCCATGTTCTACACATTTTTTCTTTGTTAAAAATTATCCAAGCATGTTGACATCTATAACCTTTTTCTGTTCAAGACAATGTCAAAGTAGGTGGGCAGGATAAGTGTTAATTCAACAAACATGCCACCACCAAATTAAAAAATAATAATTATTTTATCATTGTCCAATTCATGAAAGACTACATTCAAACACAATAAAATAAAATACAGATTTAATTTATGTAACAGTAGAGGATATTAGTTATGATGATGAAAAGTTTCTACATTTCAGTTTCCGAGGAAATGTTTTAAGGAGCAGCTACAACGAAGGTACTAGGCTGGTGTAGCAATATGGAAGATCACTTACGGCATTAGAGCATATTAAAAGCATTTTTTCAACACTTAGAAAATTAGAAAAAATGTAAGAAAAGATATTCTCATTTTATCATCACAAAACATGATACACTCAGTCAATGAGTAAGAATGTTTAGTTCAGTTATTTAAAATTATAGATTTATATTTGACATAAAATTTCATTCATAATTGCAATCTGTAGCTGATACAATAGTGCTTTCATAAGAGGTTAACCATTAGAATTTCAGGGAGTGTATTTTAAAATAAAAACCAAACTTGCACAGAGAAAATTTTGAAAAATAAAATTCTCAAAAAGAAACCTACAGAACACATAAATATTTATAAAAAAATTGCCACACACATTCCATAGAGAAAAAAAAATGACAGCAACATTATCATGAAAAAAAAATCTATCTCAAACTTAGTGAAGAAAAAAAGTAATTCCAGAGTTATTTTTTTTTACCATTGTCCCACCCAAAGTTTCTAATGGTCATCAGCCCCTTAGAATACACAAACCATTGGAAAACATCCACCCAAATATTATGACAGATATGACCATACCTCCAGTAACAAACATGCCTGGTGCTGTGGAAATCCATGCTACTGTGTGAACCGAAGCAGCGGCGCTTGGCAACACAAACGTTATAATAACTGACATAGAGTCGGTATCTATGAGACGAACACCAAAGTGTTGATTGGCTACTAGCAGATAATCATGAGACAAGGGGTCCCATTGTAGATCAGCGACCGGGTCTTCTTCATCTGATCCTTCTAAATTCTCCGGTCTTAAAGTGTGCTTGTAAACTTTTTGACCTACACACACAAAGAAATCAAAGAAAGCTTTAAAGAACTTCATGTGCTGGGCAAATTTGAAATTAATTAAAAATTTAAGATTTGCCTTTCAAACAAGAAGTTTGTCGACTAATATTGGTCAGCTATTTGAGATGCATAACATGAACCTACACATTATAAATGATAATTATTATACATGTGTAAGTGCATATTGCCATATAGCAAAACAGTGTTTTATACTGCAATTTTGTCGTTCGATTCTTTCTTGTAGTCATATTCACTCAAATATGGAATACAATGTGTAACAAAAAAACACAGAATCACTAAAAATCCCAGTAAAAATATCTTTGAATATAGTTATTACACAAATAACATAATCATTATGTAATGAACTGTTTTGCAATGAAAAAGCTGCAAAAAAAGAAATTGCTAATTAGTAGGCAGAAATTGCTAATTACTAGGCAAATTAGGCATTTAGTATTCATGGATTCTATGTACCAAGTTTCCTTGAAATGCGATAAGTTTTTCAGTTTTAAGAAAAGCTGACAATTGGCTAATTATTACGCAAATTAGGTAATTAGGTAGTATGCATGAATGTCAACTCCCCAAAAAAATCATGTCTACACTTTACCCTTAAGCATCTATGTATCACGATTTATTGAAATGCAATGTTATGTACATTAGGTAATTAATATGCACATATTTTTACTGAAAACTGATCAGGTCTACCCATTGTCCCAGATCAACTATGTACAAAGTTTCATTCAGTTGTAAACAAAGGGAGAAGACAATGTTTTTAAGTATCTTGGGAAATAAACGTGCAAGATGTCACATAATCAAACTTGGATGAGATTACAAATGGGTTGATAAATTCAAAATTAGAAGCAGAACGGATACAAATTGTTTGATTTAACAAAAAAAAAATACTTTCAAGAGGGACAATGGCAACACCTGATATTTATCTCTTAAAAAGCAAGTAGTGATTATTTTTCCTACTTTTAAATGAGGATCACCACACAAATCACATTAAAATGTACAGATTGCCAGCTGGGTGTTACCTGGAGTAAAAATTGAGAGACTTCCATCCACATGTCCAAACGCCATCTTCCCAATTTTTCGGTGATGCCATCGAAACTGACACACATCAGACATAAAATTACTGGCTTCCTTGTGAGTGGTTAGTCCTCCTCCCTGGCTGAAGTTCCAGATACACAACGGCCCCCTGGCGTAAATAAATGCAATGGCATCGCGTTCGTGAAGACACCAACCTAGGCAACTGGGCGTCTGCTTAGTGTTCTCAAGGTTAGCCACAACTCTTTGTTCAGCAACGTTCCATATAACAACACGATTGTCCGCACTGGCGCTAGCAAAGACGTCAGGATTGCGAGGGGTTCCACGCAATTGCTGTAATTGTCTTCTTGTGTTCAGACATAATAGCATACAGTTTGAATTCATTGTATTTGTGGTCCAACTGAAAAACAAAATATATACATATTAGATCAGTACTGGTATTAATATATAATTACCACTTTAATATAACATAACATATGTTAATTAAATGCAAGATTGCTCAGTTTCTGTAATGCTAACATTTACGAGTCACATTTTTTGATTACCATAATTGCAACTGGCTTACTGGGAAAAGTAACATGGCAAAACATATTTAGAAAATACCAGGTAGTAATGAACATGAATATTGATAATATCGATCGGAAATGTAGAATAATGATCCAAATAAGGTCATTCAAGTCACATGTCATAACAATTAGTAGAAATGTACGTACATATACGTGAATGGAAGATATATTTTCACTTTATTTGAATTCACTTTTTTGATGTTTTTGAACATATTTATTGTTTTAAATTCACACACTTGACAGGAAAAACATAGCTTTATTGTTATTTTCATACATTCAAGTGAATTTAATTTTATGGAATTTTATTCATTTACAAATAATGAAATTAAATCCCAGTATTTAAACAAACCATGCATGAAACAGTCCCTGTAATAGTTATCAAATTTAAGATATATAGTTTTGAGATATTGCTCTGGAACAGCATTAATTAAAAAA